CCTGCCAAGTGCAACACATGTTTCAACTGCAACATGTGTGCATCACACACATTGATTGGAACTCAAAAGAAGGCACTGACATGTGTAATTCACATGTGGCCACCCCACAAATTAAATTAAACATTGTCATCACAGCTGCAACTTCTTCTTGCCGGCCAACATCGTGGCACGCTCATTGGATTTCATCCATGCTTTGTTAGCTTCCTTCATAGTCTTTGTGTTGCCCTCTGTGTTCATGTACTTTCGAACCTTTTCTTGATGATTTTCATGATGCAATCCCCAGACCTTTAACATCAAATGCGCACCACGTCTGGAAAAAATAATAAAACTGCACCCAAGTGATTTCGAGCAACAAAATCCCATCGAGCATTGTGTGTGGCCGACATTGTTGGTTTCTCATCCTTTTTCTGTGTGGCAGTGGACTTTCTCTTGGAGGCATTTTTCTTTTCTCCACCGGCAGGAGCCCGGGCAACCTTGGGACTCATGCAATAACCAAGAAATGCACTTGTTTTCACATAATCATCCCAAAAAACGAAATAAAACTCACAATGTTAGGGGCAGGGGGGGGTTAATCTGTCCTCACGCAACCCCCTTGCTCACAAACTTGTGGTGCCAATTACGAGAATTTTTGCGGCGCCTTTCCTCCTGCTCGTCCCGGATCTTTTGCTTTGTCCCCGGTGACATATCCTTTCGAACACGGAGCCGTTTCTTCTCCGGTTCCTTCTGCTCGTCCTCCTGCTGGTCCTTCTGCTCTTCCTTCTGGTTGTCCTGTGTGATGTTTGTCCACATCTTGTCACACAAAATCCAGTTGTTACAAAAAAATACACATGCCAATTGAACATTAGTGCCAAAAAAAAGGTTTTGTGATGTTTTTTTTTGGTACATGTCCTTTGGCTTCGGTTTCTCTTTTGATACATCCTGGTCACCCTTCTTCCCCTTTTCGCCCTCTGAAACAACAACATCTTCTGAAGCATCAGCACCACAGGAAGAAGAACTGGGTCGGACCACAGAACTTGGTCGTTCCTTAGGAAGTTAAACAAAACCACAACACAACCACAACATGTTCTAGCATGACACATGACCAACAAAAACATGCACATGAGGAAAAAAACAACAAACATCAATAAATTGTTTTTCTAAAATACAGGGCGAGCAGCATCATCATCATCATCATCCAGCAAGCTTAGCACCTCCATCACACGAAAAAAAATGAGCATCAACTGTCTAAACAATTTGAACATTTTTTGTGAACAAAACACTTGCCTTAGCCTTGCCGTCCGATTCCAACTTGTTTGGTGGCTGGTTGACGCCATCCGGCTCCAACTTGTCCTGCTTTGGCTGGTTGATGCCATCTGGCTCCAACTTGTCCTGCTTTGGTGGCTGATTGATGTCATTGGGCTTCAACTTCTGGTTGTTGTCATCTTCATTAACTCTTGGAGACCTGTTTGGTGACTGTGGTGGAGTCACATAGCCATCTCCAAACTCATATCGGTTCTGCTCAAGGTTGTTCAGGTCCAAAGTTGGGGTCTCTGAATGTCCGACTTCAAGTTGATGGCCATGAAACTTTGAGGCGTCTTCTTGTTCAACTTCAGGCTGATGGCCACGCAAAGCCAAGGGTCTTGCAACTGTCTCAACAGGAATCACCTTATCTGCAATTGTTTCCCAAAAAGCGATCACAATAAGACATCATAAGTCCATATATTGCACATAATCTGGAACAACATTGTACACATGGAAAATATGAAAAACAACCATTCTTGCACTGGTACCGGTTGAGCTGTTTGCATGAACTTCCCCAAAGTCTTGCTGGGCTGAAAGAAAACTCTTTCAGGAACCATCTTGGGGTGAATGTCCAACTTGGCGGCTTTTGGCACAGCACCATCTGTAGATGTAATAGGCTTCGGCTCAGTCTTCTGCACGCTGGTTTGCAAGTACTTCTGCACCAAAGCACTATCAACACATTTCTCTGGATCCAAGTTGACACATGAATCTGCCATGGCGCAAAAGGATACACAAGATGCAAATTATCTTAGGACACACCCAAACTGCAATCTTGATCTGGGATAAATACAGCACATCAATTCTCCCACGGCACGAAAGTAAAAGGATTAACAAATTGCAAAGTAGTTAAGGACACACCCAAGCTGCCAAATGCAACCTAGATCTGGGATAGAATATGAATAACATCCCATACAGCCACACCATAACCAGCAGTGTAAAACATTTTTCTCCAATGGCATCTGATGAACGGTAACCCCAAAAGCACCTTGTGTGCTGAGAAAGAACCCCAAAAGCACCCTTGAGTGCCGAGGAAGACCCCAAAAGCGCGATGTGCGCTAGTCTTTCAACTTCTCACCAGTCTGGACTGAGTTGTTCTCTCAAGCGATTTCATACACCATGTTGGCTTCCATTGTAAAGCCATCACCTCGTACAAACCATAATGGTTTGGCTGGTCCAAGCACCTTTTCTTTGACGTAGTGACGCATTCCTGCCAAGCTGTTCATCTCATCGATAAAAAAACTTCAAAATGGTACCACATGAAAAAAATCACACATATATCTTTTTCAGTTGTCAAGATGCGCCAGATCAGCTGCAAATACTTTGAGTTCTCCAAGGTCTTGTAGTTGAGAAAGCCGCCAAGGTTGGACGATTTCACATTCTTCTGCTGAACCGGGTTGGGTTTGTAGACTGAGTAGGACGTGTGTTTGACGTCCAAGCAGTCTGCCGCATTCCCTGCCTTGACATCTGCGGGTCTGTCCACATCATGGGAGGTCACCTGGAAATCAACCACACCACGTTTTTCAAGCATCAGGTAGAGGTCATACAGCGTCATCGGCGCAGAGTCGGTTGTCCCACTTGTCCCCTGTTCCTCCAAGAGAACCTCAACATCAACATATCAATACAAAGCACATAAAAACTCAACATCAAAAACCAAGAAAAACTATGTTAGCTAAAAAGAACAAACAAGGACCAGGCAACCAAGCTCTTTGCAGATTCAAGTCGGAATTCAACACCCTTCCCTTCATTACCTGGTTTCGAAAGAAAGTCCTTGGCCTTGCTGCTGTCTGAAATCCATGAGCCACCCGCATAGAGGAACAACGGTTTTGGAGTGGCTGAATTTGCACCAACCAAACGAAAGGTTGAAGCTGCTGAGATGAAGCACTTCCCCCCTGCAACCTGGCAAACGACATTTTGCCCCATGTAGAGAGTCACTGTCATCTGGACCTCGGGATACTTTTCTTTGAACTTCTCCATTGTCATTGCTGGGGGTGTGTCAATCTCTTGTATTTCCATCTTCACGACGTCCTCTCCAATCTCCTTTGCTAAGTCGACCTCCAATGAAGTGGTTGTTGGCGTTGGGCGCTGTGATTGTCCCTCCACACTGAAGACTGCGTCAAAATTCTTCAAGCGTTTGCGCCAATCCGGGTCTTAGTGATTGCAAGTACAAAACTACGAAATAAAATCTGAAAAGACACTGAAACATGCCAAAAACGTGTTAAATGTTTGATCAAGTTGCTCCTCACAGGATCATTCAACCATCGTTTGCGCTCAGAATCTGGGATTTGAATGTTCCCAGAATCTGTCATGGTGCATAGTTTCAGGCTTGGTCGCTTGGGATCCAAAACATCTGACAGATCTGCATCTGGCACAAATTTTGGCTGCATGCTTGCAATGAGGCCACGGCTTTGCTTCCACTCCTTCAGGGTTGTGACAGATGATTTTGGTGAGAAACATGTTTCCTATATATATATATTATGTCTACATAAATAAATAAATAAATAAATATATATATATTATGAAACAGAATCACCTGGATAGTATAGATGGATGGTAGGATGGAAAGATAAATGTATTGTATGTATGCATATGTATGCATATATGTATCTATGTTGGCTTGATTTTATGCATGTATGTACGTATGCATGGATGTATGTGTGTATGTGTATCTGTTTTTTCTCGATGTTCTATCAAGAACAAAAAACAATCCAACTATGCAAAAAAAACAATCCTCCAGCAACTTGTCTTTCACCTGCATCAGTGCATACTGGAAAATGGTCGGGTTGTCACACTGTGAGTAGCAAGCGATGTGGCACATGTCCTGCAAGTCCAACATTAAATCCAAAGCCACCTCAGGGTTGATAAACTTGTTTGTTGACAAACTGTTCATTTTGGTCATCTGCGCCTTCTCAAAGGTACCCTCATACGGTGTCAAGTGGTGGATCAGTAGGACTTGACCTTTCAGAGAGCTAACCCGGGAAAGGCTTGCTTCCAAAATCGATTTCAAGGTGGCGGGTGATGCCAACCATTGTGACGTTTCTTCTTTGTCCTTGGTGGCAGGCTGATATAAAACAGAAAATGTGTTCTTCATTTTTTTGGCAACAAAAAAATAAAAATAAAAAACATGTTACCGACCAGCTTCGGTCAATGTCCTTCCACCTTCATGGCTGAGAAAGGTTCCGCTTTCAGGGGTCACATACAAACCTCTGCTGATCACACACACACACCCCATCAATGATTACACATGAATATAAAAAATCTGGGACAAAGGAAAAACACATGCCAAACAAGCCCATGTACTTGGCGACAAGGGCTTGGATGCTTTGCAGGCGACAAAATTCCAGAAATCATTTTTGCAAAATGAGTTTGTGTCCTTCACCTCACGATCTGCATTTCTGGGTGCTTTCCACAACGTACCTTGCTTGCAACCCAATGTTGTCTCCAGCACCACCATCCATGCAGGAAGGTTGCATGGAAAAGTCCTACCAGAATGGTCAAATTTGAAATCAGGACAAATGATGCACAAAAAACACAATAAAATCAAGATAAAATTAAAAACATCAATGTCCTGTTTCCATGGGTATCAGTGAGGTCGAAAGCCACCTGCACATTCTTGAGCTCCATGCCCATTGAGATAAATTTGTCTTCAATGCGACGATACTCACCACGCAAGCCACCAAGCACACCCTCCCCTGCTAAGATTGGACATATCACCAATGCCATGCCTTGGATGACTGAACATCAAAACATTCACTCAAAAGATGACGGTCATAACAAATTTATATAATAATCATTAAGAGTCAAGTTGCTGTAGTCTTCATTCATTCTGAGCACCTGAATGATAGACTTGGCAGCTTGGTCGATGTAAGGGACTGTCAATCTTCCATGTTTGGAAAAGTCAAAGAATGCCAGGTGGTGCATCTTCGCTAGGTCGACCCCATCCCATTTTGAGGCTGCTTCAGAGATGATCTTTCTGATGAGGGATGTGGTCCCTTGTGATTTTTCACCACTTGTGCAAAGCATCAAACATCGCTTTTCCATGAACTTCTCGGCGACCTGGAGTCCAATCTCCAGCTGATTCTTCATATGTACCACCTGGTTGGTGGCTTAAAAGAAAAAGTCTGAATTTGAAGAACTTCCCAAGAAGCCAAATCAGCAACAAAACATGAACACTTTAAGAACAACATGATGAAATTGCTGAAATAGTTCAAGTTGCTTTGGCCACGTGTCGATGCCCATCCACCTTGAGGAGGGTTTCTGGCTGCCAAAAAAAAAGAAAAAAACACAGTAAACATTCAAATTTTGTCTGACCTTGTTTCGCTTGAGGTTGTAGCTCACAGCCTCTTTGTAGTCATGAGCCAAACTTGCGCAAATCATCTGGTATTCGGCGTTCTTGAGGTTCTCCTGGGTTTATGACAAAGTTCCAAAAGACAATGAACCGAATTTAGAATACACATTTTTTTTTCAATATCAGCCCCCCAAAAAACAACATGTTGAGTAAATATCAACCCTCCAGTCCTCAGCATCTTCGACTTCTGCTGACACATCTTGGCCAGAAGACCCACCAACAACTTTCTGAAGACCCTTCTGGATGTGATCTTGGAACATGCTCAGCATTTCGACTTTCAAGTTGTTGGGCTTTGAAGCAATCAAAGCGTCCAAATCTTGGATGTAGTCCCTGAGCTGATCTCAGGGAAAATCAACATCAAACATATTTTACCAAACATAATACTTCGGCATTAAGAACAAAGATGATGGTCAATTCAAAAGGAAAAGTTTTTATTAATTTGTCCAAGCATCCCGTTCATGAAGCTTGCCACCATCTCATCCAGCATTTCTTGGGTTACCTGGGTCATGTTTTGAAAGCGGATGAAGTAAGACACAAAGTAACATGTATAACTAGCAAAAAATGCATCTAATGCGGAGCCCAAGATGCTCCATCATGTTTCTTGGCCTCTTCCACTGCCCAATGGCACAAGCAGCAATGATCCACATTTTGTAACCACTGTGGCTCCTGCCATCTCAAACGTGCCCTCATTGTTCTTTTCACTCTCTTGACGTTGTTGCCCCACCATAAGTTGTACCGTTGGAAAACCATGAGCTGGGCCGGTGCTGTGACCTAGCAGCAAGCTAAGCACACAATTTTAACGGCAAAGGTCAACTAGGACCAATGAAAAAACAAATGACGTTGACAACCCGTTTCCTGCTTTCTTGTGGAGTAAAAAATGTAAAAGAACTGCAGTCCAAATCATCCATGTGGCTGTCAGGAGTTCCTTCCAGAAACCAGTTGTCCCTTTGGGAGACTCATGTAGCTGGTGACGTTTGCAACGAAGCAAGAACTCATTGTATCCTCCGCTGTGAAAAAAAAGCAAAGTCACTAGGTAGCCCGAAAAATCTTTCTCAGATAAACTTTGAATCTACTCAGAGAAACCTCAAATGATCAAATGAAACTATAAGTTGCTATCAAAGTAGCCACTCTCTTCATATTTGTTGAAATCGAGATGAGCGCGTACCAACTGACGGGATTCAAAGGTCATGCCCTCAATCACACCAAGGATTGCAGCGTACTGATCTGGTGAGATTTGCCACTTCTTCAAAGCACTGTTCGCCTTGAACTGGTTGTATTTCGAAACCAAGTCTTGCAGAATGGCACCATCTGTTTGATTTCTTGAAGCTTCTTGTAATCTGCGCTCTGCTATCAAAAGCTCGAAACGCTGACTGAGCTTCATGACCTAGGTTTCAATGATGCTAGCTGCAAATAACAATATCTAGTGAGAGCAGCTAATTTACAAAATCCAAAAAATAACATGGGCAAAAACAAGCTGGAAAATGTTCATGAATAGGTATAACAAACTACATCTTTTCTTTGGCGTTCTGCACCTTGGGTGCTCAACTGGATAGCTTCAAAGCTGACAATATCCATGTCGTTGTGGACGCTCAAATAGCAAGGAATCTCAAACAAGCCCTTGATCGCAGGAATCAATGGCAGAATCAGGTCCTGGAAGGCAGATGTTTTTTTCCAAAACAATTTCCAGTTCCAATGTTTTCCCCCAAGCCCCAAACCATCTGATGTTTTTTCCCAACATCTCCTTGCCAGCAACAGGATCAAGGTCTGAGGCGATCAAGGTGAGAAGCAACAGGCAAGTCCTTGTGTAACTGCATAACTCATTCAAAGGACACCTGCGAAAATAAAAACAATTTACTTCCCGGAAAAAAAACAAAGAATGCTCAATAAATCCCAAGAGCAAACGTGTAAACCCTTTCTTGATGGCCCACTTTGCATCTTCCTGATCTTCCTGATGTGGCACGCCCCAATTCAAATCAATGGGTTCCCTCCCTAAACGAGATCCACTGAAGATGAATGAAATACAGCATGTGATCCAGTCTGACACGCAAGGAAGTCCATCGTCGGGAATCTTCACTTTGATGAGGTTGATGGGCACTGAAGCATTGACTTGTCCCTCCTTCACAGCATTCACATCCTCATCTGGTTGATGCTCAAAATGTCAAATATTGATGTAACCTGCTTTTCTTGCCACAAGTTACCCATAGATTACCCATACTAAAAAAGGATATTTTATTTATTGGGTAAAAGTAATCTGTTTTTTCCAAGGTTCAGGTGGCATTGCGGCATCCAACTTCATGCCATGCACCTTGAGTGCATCTTCGAGAAAGGTTCGCATTTTCCCCACAGTTTCTTTTGCTGCAGCAGCATCTTTGAAGGCTTCAACAACCATATCTGCTGGATGCATAGCCCCGCGGAAACCGGTTTGACACTCTACCGAGTCTGAGAATAGAGCTAAGTAGTCCAAAATCTCCTGAGGGGTTTGGAAATCATTTTAAAAATACAGCATCAAGTAACAATTTCATCAACAAGGTCCTTGACCAGTGTCGTGTCCCCATGGAGCTTGTTCAAAGCTGCGTGCCACTCTGTCTTACGTTTTTTGGCTGAAGGATCTTGTTCCTGCTTCACCTCGGGAAAGAGTCTTAAAGTCTGGAAAACAAAGTTAATTAATTACTCTTTGGGCTTGAAGCCTTTCTTTCAAATTGCTAAGCCTGAAAAACAAAACAAGTTAAAAGACACAACAAGGCAGGGAAAACAAAATAAAAACTGTTTGCACTTGAAGCCTTGCCTGCTCTACCTTGATCTCTTGTTTCACAACCACTTTGTCCTCCTTCCCAGGCAACTTGCATAGAGCAGCTTGGGCTGCTGCAACATTTTGCCGCAGCAAAGGTGACTCCATCACAGCAAGGTAAAAGCTGAGAGACCGGTTTCACGTGCCCAATCTCAAAAATATTTTTCTTTTGTGCTCAATGTCATATCCTAGTCTGACGGCATGTGATGACTGGTTTGTGATCTTAAAAGCAAAGATTTGCAGCGAAAAATGAATCAATGTCTCCAACTGTGCAACAAAAAGTGGCCAAAAGTTAGATCCTTAAGACCATTGTATAACGATGAGTCGATAGAAATCATCGTCGTTGACCCCTATTATAACGATGAGTCGATGAAAATCGTCGTCGTTGACCCCTGATATAACGATGAGTCGATGAAAATCGTCGTCGTTGACCCTGAATATAACGATGAGTCGATGAAAATCGTCGTCGTTCGAGAGCCAACCTACATTGAAACCAAACCATTACACCCGTAACTGAGGCTCATCCTTAGAGATCACAACCCCATTGATTTTGATCAGCCAAATCTCTCCAAATTTCGTTGTAGTGTGGCACCCTGACCACATTGAAATCATATAGGCCTAAGTATACCCACATTGAAACAGCAAAATCCCCAAAACCTCAGTTTCAATGTAGATATACTAAAGTCTATATAAAATCGTCGTCATTGACCCCCCAGACTACATTGAAAAATTTTGTCGCACAGCATCATCAAATCAATGTAGGTCTGATCAATTTTAGCAATTTTTGTTTTTTTTTGGTCCGCGCGTTATCTGACTTTTCATTTCGCATGTTCTCTAAAGCGCAGTGCAAGGCTTTCACCTCGGAGTCAAAAATGGTTTGACACTTGATTTGAACATGTACAGTGCAACCATCCAATGGAAACTGCCAAGTGCAGTTCAATCTGATTGTCACAAATTGTCACACTTTTTCCCCAACATATGCTACGGAGTTTGCATCCTTAGCTTGGGGTCTCAAAAAGATTTGTAACTTGAAACAACTTGAGGTTTTTAGAATATGATAGCTATTCTATTCTATTCTATTCTATTCTAGCCTATTCTCAAGAATCATCTGAGACCCCGTTTCCAAACAACCCTCAAAGGAACACTAGGGCAGAGAACAGCCAAGACACAAGCATGAGGCTCAGCCTTCTCATGTGGAATGAGATCTGCTAAAAAATTAACATTTTCATGCCAATTCAATGGGTGCAATGGGTGAATTGGCAACTCATCACGTGCCAGCCCACGAAGGTAAACTGCAGCCCGTCGGGTTGCTTCACTACCTCCGAGCAACTGTTCAAATATGCCGGCCAACTTCAACCACCCATGTGTCACATCTGATTTCAATGCCCGTCTCGAAATCTCTCCTGCCGATGGTTGGAGGCCAATGACTTTTGTTATACTTTGTTGCAAAAACATAGATAAATTTCAAACAAAAAGTAATCATGGGTAATCTATATTTATGGAAAGAAACTTGGCAAAAAGCAAAGCCAGGTTTCTGTTTGTGGTGAGGGAATATGTGGCTCTGTGCTCCGCAGTGAGGACGAGCAAAGGGGGTTGCCGAAGTTCTGTGGAGGAAATATACTCTTTCACAAGAACAAATGTGTCATCCTCCAACTTCTCCCTGCGATGGTTGGTGCCCTCATCAATGTCCAAATGATTTGGCAAATCTGAGAGGGGTGCACATCATCAATGTGTGGTTTCTTTTTCACACCCCCATTTTTCTTTTCTTTTTTTACAAACTCCTGCCTCTTCGCTTGCAAAACAAGAAGAAATGGTTTGCAGTCTTGTCCAGCAACAATCCACCTTCCTTGATTGGTGATAAATTTGAAGCAGGAAAGTTGAGAACAACCAGCAACAAGGAAAACAAAAACACAATGACACAATGCAGGAAAGCTTCAAATGTCACAGGAGAGTTTGTTTGAACATGTGCCTTCCAATCACGGTAGTGTCGCAAACAGGATACAATGACTTGCCCATTTATCCAGCTTGATAGTGAGGGCTTGGTGAGCTCGGAACGGATGACTTCACAAACGCTGGCATCATCATAAAGTTCTGTAGATTTCCCCAGGCGTCTGCTCAACAATCCCCAAAGTTGGTCTTAGTGATCAAAAAGAAAACAACAAATATATGTCAAGTTGGGGCACCAAAAAAAGAAATATGGCATTCCAAGGAACCAATAATATCGTGTGTATGAGATACACGATACATCATCATCGAAGTAAACCTGAGCTGGCCACATTATACGGAAATTTGCAAAACAAACAAAGGAGAACAAAACAATCCAATATCAATCCAATAAAGTTTCAAGGTGATATCACAGCATCAAGACACCTGAAGCGGGAATGGTTGACATAGTTTGCCACTCCACTGAGGAGAACAGTGTTTTTCAACTCTTTCACGGTATTGTCTCCGACCACCACTAAGGTGTCTGGGGCGGCCACCTTTTTTTCATCACATACTTTCATGATGTCCTCGATTGTTAGGGCTAGAAGTTCTTGAACAAGACCACTTCCATGATATGTGTTCTCCTCCAACACGGCGATACGTAGGACAAATCCAAAGGCCCACACTCCATGTATTTTCAGCTTGGGGCGTTGAAATTTGGCGCTGCGATATGCAGTCTTCAGTGAAGGACTTCTTGGGATCATATACTTTGCCTCCGTGATTCCCCCTTTATTGTTTTGCTTGTTTGATCAAAAAAGGAAAAGCCAAAATAAATAAGTCTTGCTTTGATATGCAAGTGGCTTGGTCTGCACCATCTGTGATGCAGACTGCAGTTCGACTCATCTCTGGGCCACTGATGTCACGCAAACTCCAAACAGCGCATCTGTCAGCATACTGTGACATCAAATGTGCACGATACAGTTTCAGCGCATTGAGCCGTGACTCCATGTGCAACTGCTTGTCCTGGAACCTGTGCTGCATGCAATTTTCTTTTCAAACCAACAAGAACAAGATAAAAATAAAAATTCAATAAACCAAGAAACTGAGCTTTGAGTTCTTGACACTGGTCACATTGGGAAAACTCGCTGGCAGTTCTGAACTTGAGGACGCTTGTCCATTTTGAGTTCCACCGTTTCAAAAAGGTCCCATACCTGCACAAAACAATGATTGTCACGTGTCCTCCACATGATATATGATTATATATACATAAACAAACACGCATATATATATACAAATTTATATATACACAACTCACCACACACCAAAAAAATCAAAAATAATTTTGACTTGGTGCCCAGCTTGGTGCTCAATGGAATGTGCAGAGCACCATCCACAGTAAAACTGATACGTATCATAAATGGTGCCTGGAGGTAAGTATTTGCGAACCAATCCAGTCAAATCCTCAGTGTCTTGGGACAAGATACATGGCAAAAAATACACACAAAAAAATATCAATGAACAAAATGGGAGACCCAAAAATTGCATCTGTTCACCAAGGCACACTGAACCCAGCAGTTTTGGTCATGTTCAGCAAGAAAGATGTGTTGTTCTGCAGAAAAGAAGCTAGGTCATCGTCATTCTCTTCAAATTCTGATTGGCAAAGCACCCCACCTTCCCACTGGTCTGTCCCAGAGTCAGCTTTGACAGTTTTGGTGCGTTTTGCTTTCCCAAGTCGAACAAGCCTCTCAAAGGTTTTTGTGACCTGTCAAAACAAAAACAACCTTGCGCAAAACTTCCAAACTTGGTCACAACAACGATATAAAATCATCTGCGCTTCATTCAAGTCACTTTGTGGGCAATGGTTCTGCCACTGAGTTGTAGAGAACCATGACAAATGCATCAATGCTGGCTGTCAGGGGAGAAGGTTTGCTAGGACGCTTGGTATCTCTGTAGCGCATGTCGATGGACCCTATCTTGTCCACTCTGTGTGACGACATTCCGAGTAGACTTTCAAAGCATTGTCTCCGAAGATGGGTTCCCAAGAAATAGTATTCAGAACGTTTTGAATCCCCACAATGTGAAGAACTATCCTCACACGACATGTAAAGGATGGCGTCTTGTTCTCGTTTCGTTCGGGGCTCAAAAATGTCCAAGAAATCTTTGATTTCCTTCACGTCCAACTTCTTATAGCAATCACCTGAAGCGCATTTGCATCCTGTTTCCATCAGCTTCTGTAGTCTTTCCTTACTAATGTCACAATATCCCCAAACATAGAATTTAAGGCACACACCAAAAAAAAAACAACAAATTCAAAACACAAAGGTACCAAAGCATAGCTTTAGCTTCTTCACTGTTTCTAGGCAACCTACTTTGGTTTGCAGTTTTGCACCTCATTTTTTTGGCATGTTCTGCAGCAGCAGCTCTCTTTGTGTTGTCATAATGACGTTTCTTTTTTGGCTCTGAAACGCTTTCTGTCGAGAGTTTCATGATTTGCCCTTTGAGGAAGTTAGACAACACAGAATGGGAAAGCTGAACGATGCTCCTCTGAGGTTGTCCAATCTCATTGTCATCATCACAATCAGCGAAGTATGCGCTATCATCGGAGTTGTCATCTGACCTGATTAGAGAAATTTAAAGGATGACAGAAAATGATAAATATCAGGTCATCACATCCCATAAAATAGAAAGCATTGAAAAAAATGTATAGCTTGAGTTGCTCGTCAGGTTCTATGCCAAAAGGAAGGCAATGTTCATCTTCGATTTCATCAGGTTCATCTTGTAAAACACAAGCCGGTTTCAATGCAGTCAGTGGGGGTTGCCCTTCACATCCTTCACCTTCACTAGGCTCATCTTGAAACAATCCAGGTGATGAAGGTTCGTCAGCTTCATCTTGAAACATGGAGTTTGGCCATGGCTGTGGTCACAGGTGGAGAAAGAACCCCAAAAACAGTAATGATTATATAATTGGTTAATGCTATAAACTTCTGTCAAAAGTATTCAGATTACCCAAGTACAGTAGCCTCTTCTTATCACACACTGCATGTTGTTCCTGAGCTGTTTTTCTGCACATGTCTTGATCCAGCAACACTATGATTACAATCAAGTTGCAGGGCATGTGCAATCACAATGATAGAACTGAAAACTTCTTAGGGCCCCACTGTGTTTTTCGTCTCTTGTCTCTTGGTGGTACTGGGAATGCCTGAAAGTGGCCACGAATTAAAACAAAAAGGATAACAAAGAACATAATTTGTGAAAAAGTGTCCAACCTTGCCTCATCTGTATGTTTTTCCTCCAAGCAAATCAATGCCTGGCATATTTCAAAAATGATGTGCATGCAAACTTGCTGACAAAATCCGCCAGCATGACTGTGAGCATGACGAATCCCACTGATGGCACATCCATGCCATTGCCAGCCATGGTAACCTCTGAAGTTTTGTGAAGATGTTGGATTGGACAATCATTAGCCAGTTTGGGCAAATCAAGGAAACCAAAACGGCAAAATAATCATGATTTCAATAAGAGTCACCTTGGCTGCTTCGCTCAGCATAGTCACATTCATACGTTCTGTGGAAGCTGCATCTGCAAGAGACTTCGTGACAGGGAGTCCCATCACCCCCAACATTTCATCACCACAAAGAGGCCGGCCATGCTTTTGGCTCCACCTGATTTTTCAACATTGGATAAACAACTGGAAAAATCACCATTGATATTTTACACTTTGTGTGGGGCTCAAAAAAATCCAAGTTGTTGTGCCTTCAAGATGATGACCATGAAAATACTTACCAAAGGTCAAGCAGAGGCACAACAATCCGCTGCTTGTTGCAAATGTTGGCAAACTTCCATCAAGAGTGCTGCAACGCCCTCTCTTGACTTCCGGGCTGGGATTCTGTGACAAATCCTTAGATTAAAGAATCAGGCTCACTACCTCCTACTGCAGCAACAACATGAAACCAGTTGGCAGAAAAAGGCACAAATAAAAATTGAAAGCATGCAATGAAATCCACCAATTGTCCCAAACCAGTCTGTTGGAAAAATCTTCCTCATAGATCCTCTTGTATTGGAGTGCAGAGTTGGAAAGGTCCATGACAAAGTGCTCCGATCGCCCCACAGTGTCGATCTTAGCTGATCAATCAAATTTGCTGAAATTCAAAACGGACCATTGACACAACTTTGTTTGCAAATGCATTACGAAATAAATCAATCCAAAGTCATACTGAAAAATGTGTCAATGTGCCAGTTCTGAAGGACGCATCCAAAACATCACATCAGCATCCATCTTGAGTTCGGAAAGTGGGCACACCAGCTTCAAGATCTGCCGCAAGCAAGGGCCCTTCCGAGTATACTTCTCTTTGTTCCAGTAAAGCCGATACTTGCGCAACCTCGTGATTTTTGGCAACAGATTTTCTGATTATTTACTTTTTTCAACTTGTATATGATTCTATGAATGTAGATGTATTTATTTATAAATATAAAAACGTAAAGGGGTATATACATACATGTTTTTGTTTTGGCAACAATGGCCTGTTCATGGGCTTTCCAAATCGTTGAGGTGAAATCAGCGTCTCCTCATAGGCATATTTCTGCTCCAGTGGGCGGAGGTAGTCAGTGGGGTACTCTGGCACATTTTCGAAAACAAACCAATCCAACCTAGATGAAGCCCATGAACAAAAGAAAAAACAAAGAAACAAAGAAACAAACAAAACAAACAAATGAACAAAAAACATCTTCACAAACTTTGACAAGATGCTCCTGGTCAAGTTTATCTTGCATCCAGACTTCATGGCACTGTCTCTTGAGTTCATTGCCTGTCATGCCTTCTCTATTGCCCATCCTCAATGCAGCAAGCAAGCCCAATACAAAAAATATTTTCCCTTGGATAAATAGCATATCTATTTATTGGAAAAAACATGTTGTTATTTTTAATTTTCTGCCAAGAGACTTGGAGAAGAGCACACAGGGGGGTCCATCGGTTGCACACTTTTGATGGGAAGCAGGACTATGCAAGGCCTTTCTCATGCACTTTTTGTCGTGGGTGAGGCAATAGACGGACGAAACCTTGGATTACATGCCTCATGCCCAATACAAAAAAATATGATAACCAAAACACATGATACATATTTGGTGGAAAAAAACATTCAAAATTATTGTCTTTGGTGGAAAAAAAACATTCAAAATTATTGTCAAGCAACCAGCTTTCTTTTCTCCGGTTTCTTCTTGATGTCATCAACAAAATCTGTGATGTCGCCAAACATGCATCGATCCGGAAAATTGGCTGCCACATACCTTTGCACATCTGTGTGAAAATATGTCTTGGGTCACTATGTGTCTATTGCCCTGAAATCATCCAAGAAACTTCCGTGAATGTTTTGCAATATCGCATGCACGGCCAATCCTCCAATCCAGGTCGAAACCAAACCTGAGATGGAGACAATTTCCAAGTAAAACAAAGGCTTGCCACAGCACCAAGCACTGACAAAATGACAACAAAAAGACTAAAAGCAAATGACAAGAATCCTGCGGCGAACAGCCGTCTGAATCTGACACATGGCTTCATTAGCGAAATCTCCACCAGTGAACCAGGTGTCCATGGAAAACTTGGTTGTTTTCAACTTTTGCTCCACAGTTTGTACACCAAAAAGCCTCCTGGATATGTTTTTTGGCTAACATCAAAACATAGCACAAACAGTATGGAACACCTAAAATAACAGAAACAAAGAAGAAAAACACTTCTTAAGTCCCATTGTAAGACGCTCAAACTGCACGAGAAGCTGGCTGGCCCAGAGGAACAATTGCAAGAACTTGCTTGGCTTGTCCGGCCTCACTGAGGATTCTAAGCATAAATGAATAAGAAACGTTTAAGTTTTTGGTTAGAGTCAGCCAAGGGGACAAAACACAGTAAGTGGAGAAAAAAATCAGACAAGAATCGGCAATGGCATGGCAGCTTTCAATTGTGGAAACGGAGCATGGTCAATGCCATCATCATCACGGTCTCCTCGTCTTGGGGGGCGTTTGCCTCAACAAAGCCAAGGTGCACAAGCAGCAAAATCACATAGTAAAAAAAAAAAGAATCCATCCCAAGGAGGAAAAAACAACTGCTTCTGCTTAGGGTCGATGAGGAACTTCTGTTGCATCCAGCCCTTCTTCCTCGCCCTCGTCTTGGAACAAAATTGGCACCTGGCACACAGATTGTACTAGCTTAAACACCTTCAAAGCCTACTAGTTTAAAAACCAAACTTTCTTTTGGGAACTTTATCCCACCTTGTTTTGGACGTTGGTCTCATCATCAGAGTCAAGCAAGCAACGTTTGCCGACGGCCATCTTTCTGAAAAAAGGTGATCATCACCAAGTGGTTGAGCCCTTGAAACTATAACGCATCAAGCACATGTTTGTTTTTCCCCTCTGAGAAGCCCCGGCAAAAAATCAGCAAAAGGTGATCATCTCCAAATGTTTGGACACTTGAAAACATAACACATCAAACACATGTTTTTGCTTCCATTACTGCCCCTTCAAGAAATGAATCAAGACACAGTTCTTCCATCACTTGCCATCCCCTAGCAAAGGTCTTGAAGGAATAAAACAATGTTTTTTTCACCTCTGTAGTGCTGCAAGGTCATAATGCTCGGCATGTCAAAGGCAAAACCCATCCATACAATAGTCACGCATGCCAAGGTCAGAACCCATCGTCATAGTCATTCCGTAGTTCAACACCAAAAATACCAGAAGAGAAAGCCATCAGCATGAGTCCACTGGAGCCTTTGAATGCTCTTAAGTTTTGAAAGAAAAAATCAGTAAGGCAACCAATCCAAGATTGAATCTAAAAACCAAACATTTCCAAAAATCAAGATTCAACGAAACAACTCAAACCAAGATTCGGTTTCCTCTGCGAACATGTCCATCAAGCGAAAGGTCTCGATACAGCATGGTGGTAAAAAATCTGCCCATTGACATATCCTTAATTTGTCGCCGAGTTCAAACCAAAACTATGTTGTAAAGGGGGATGACAATCATAGACAAAACATCTACTAATATATGCTAATATTGTAAAGCAAAGCCACTCAAAAGCTCTCTGACTTTGCTCATCCTCCATGATCAAGTCAGTCTCGGACAGTTTGAAAGCAACCATCGACCAGCGACAAGTCTCCTCACCACAGAAGGTGAAGACCACCAGCAAGCCCCATGGATTGCTTCTGGCAGTCCACTTTTTGATCGTGTACTCTGCCGATTCTTTAAAGAACTGCTCGTCCTTAGCGCAATCATTGAACACCAACTTCCCTTTATGACAACATGTTCACACAGAAACAAAAAAAACAACGAAATAAGTTGAGGGACTGGATCAAAATGTTCCATGTGCAGCTGCTTCAATACTCCAATTTCGATGGCATCGTTGCGAGTCAATTTGCGGAATTTGGTCTGATCCAAGTCCAACCAGTATGTCGTTGCATGGTGGTACTTGGGGCAATCATAGGTGGACTGGAAGACATAGCTGGCAGGAGGACACTCTCCATTGTAGGGCCATGGAAGTCCTTGGATGTTGAACAGTGGTATATTATTATTCCCTCAACTGAAACACACACAGCCATCCTAAAAACAAACTTCAACTGTTCAAAATGCATGCCAAATTTGAGCAAGGACGCCAAACATCGAAAGCATCTTTGGGATTTGCATCAAGCGTTTTTTGACATCCAATGTAGTTGGCTCTCCATGGACACACTCAGAAAGAATGGGGCATTGCTCTCGCCAATCATCACTTGAAATGATGGAACGCTTTGTCATCATCCGCTTTTGAACCAACTGACAAACAATTGACAAACATGGATTGAATTCGCCAACTGACAAACAATTCGCTAGCTTAAACATGGTTTGCATGTCAACCCTTAATGCAGAAAAATCTGTCGCAATCATCTGTTTAAACGTCATTCGGTTTTCCCCACCCCATAGCATTTTGCCATGTCATTTTGTGTTTCTCTCTTTGATCCACCCATTACTGTTCCCCCAGCATTGCATGGCCATGAGAGCACAAAAGCTTGGAAATACCAAGCTGAGACACTAAAGTGGGTCCCTCCAAGTTCCGAGGTCCCATTGACGACCACTCCACGAAAGTTAAAAAGAGCTGCCGCTAAATCCCCTCATTCCAAGTTCTGAAGGTCCCACCAACGACCATTACATTGGAATGTCCTGATGAAATGATGCAATAGTGGAAAAAGTGAACCACTGGCAATCAAAAAAAAGCTATCCAAAAAAGTTCAACCACTTGCTATCACGAAAACTGAACCAATTGTCAGGTGCCAACAAGTTAAAACACATAAAAACCTGGATGCGTTATAATGATCCAAGCAACCACAGACAAAAAAGAGTCATCAACCAGCATCTTCAGAGCAAGGTCACGTTCAGGTCCAGGTGGCAGGATCTCAGCATACTCACGGTTCCTAAGTTCAATCAGCTGCGTTCCACAAAATGAACTATATATTTTCTAGACAATGAACCCAATAAATGAACTGTGTTCTAATGGTCCGTCAAATACCCCAAAACAAACTCTGTTCCAAAATGAAACCAACTTCCAAGCCTCTCCCTTTGAAGTCTTTCTCTAGGGTCAAGTGAGTTGACCTTCAGGCGAAAAAAAGTGACCACCTTCTTCTCGAATCCAATCCCGTCACCATCGGTTTCAGTGGACCAGTGAATGTTGCCCAACATCCATGGCTTCTCAGGGTCCACATCCTTTCGCCAAAAATCCCTGATGGTGTCCTGGTATGGACCAAAACGTGCAGGGCTTAGTGGCTCTGCATCCTCAAACTCTTCAACCTTGGTTGATGTCAGTCCCAAATGACATATATGTCCCTCTAAACATCTCTAAACTGGCCATGCCAAAAAAAACATGTCAAAATCCAATCCGAGAATCTACAACATACCATTTGAAGATACATTTCAGAAGCTGGGCCTCAACTTGTCTTGGATCCTTCAGATCTCGGAAACATCGTTGCTTGAGGGCTATGTTGAACCACTCAGCACGGTCTTGTGTGAACAGGAACAGGTCGAAGGGAAGAGTGCAACACTGGTATTTCTGCCATGGAATCTTTCCATTATAAGGCCATAAGGTTCCTCAGAAAAATGAGAAATAGCAAACACTTGATTGAGGCAGAAACAAAACTTGAAAGATCAAATTGACAAAACATACCATTTTTTGACAAGTATCCCAACAAGTCTGTCATGTGCACACATCTCCCCAGTGCCAAGTCCACGTCTTCAGAAATTTCTGGTCGATGTCGCTTTTGAGATTGGTTTAGCCCACGAAGCACAAAGTGAAGCATCTTGTTCTTGCCATTTTGTCGGCGTGGGTGCGGCATGTTTGACAAAATACCAAAAAAAATGTTTCTGAACATCTGTGTTCATGTTTTAGGCTGAGCTGGAGCTAGACTGATTTTTTTTTGGAGAAATGAATGCAATTTCATGTTGAACCTGCGATTTACCCCCTTTAGAGCCAAGAAGGACGGCATAAGGCCGAGCTGGATTTAAACCAAAACCCCTGGGTAATTGATATGGTTCTATTCTACTTTGAACGTGTGATTGCACCCTTCAAAACCCAGAAGGCCGAGCTAATCTCTAATACTTCCAAACACCAACACATTTTTTCTTCTCATAATGTCATGCTGAATATATTGTGTGGAATTATTTTTTTTGGGCTAAACATGAATTCTTTGGAAACTTCCGCCTTTTTCCTTGCTTGAGCAGATCGACATCCATGTCATCCATCCTATGACAGTGGGCATATCTTGGAAGCAGAACGGAGCGGGTGCTAGATTTGCACTATACAGGTGCAATGTTTGCACTATGCTGGTGGCTTGAACTTGAAGCAAGGTGAGTTGTTGCAAGATGCATTGTAATGCATGTTGGTTATCAAGCAAGCTTTCACCAGTTGATTGGGTCTGGCAAGCTTTCAGCAAGCAAATCATTGGCAGCTAGTTGTTCTAAATTAACAGCTAGTTGCCACTAAATTAACTTAGATAGATAGATAGATAGATAGATAGAGAGATAGATAGATGGCTAGACAGATAGATAGATCGATGGATAGATAGATAGATAGATCGCTCGATAGAAAGATAGATAGATCGATAGATAGATAGATAGATAGATAAATAGATAGATAGATAGAAGGATAGATAGGTAGATAAATAGATATATATGTATAGATAGATAGATCGATAGATCGATAGATAGATAGATAGAAGGATAGATAGGTAGGTAGGTAGGTAGATAGATAGATAGATAGATAGATCAATATATAGATAGAGAGAGATAGATAGATGAATAGATAGATATGTATATATATAGATAGATAGATAGATAAATAGATCGATAGATCGATAGATCGATAGATAGGTAGAAGGATGAATAGATTCATAGATAGATAGATAGATAGATAAATAGATCGATAGATCGATAGATCGATAGATCGATAGATCGATAGATAGATAGATAGATAGGTAGGTAGATAGATAGATAGATAGTTCGGGGAACAATATAACACTATTGGCCTTCTGCTTTTTTATTCGCGGGTGCTGTGAGACCAGGGGTTCAACATTGAATTTAAAAAACTCAATGGGCGCAATTGAAAATGAATGAAAAAAAAGGATCTCACAAACTCAGTTCGGTAAAAAATCTTGTCTTGGGAGGGGCTTTATTATTAACCTCCCAACATTACTCTGTGTGTGTGTGCTTGTGATTGTTCCACTTTTCTTTTTTAGGTGGTGTACTTACTGGTGTGGCTGATTGAACAGAGCAATTACTGGATTCATTGTCACACAACGAGGAAAATCAAGCCTTAAAAGCGTCCATCTTGCCTTTCTTGTTTTTTTTAGGTGCTTGTTGAACCCTTATTGACCCTGTGCCATTCCATCTTGCGGCCATGTTGGGCCTATGCCAGGCTTATGCTGACGCTTTGTGGCATTTGTTGAAAGCTAATTGATCCCATGTCAGGCCATCTTCCCTCTATGTTGGCTCTATGCTGCGTTTATTTCATCTTCTAGGAAACAGATTCGGAAAAATTTGCCTATTCCAAGAACACAGAAAGTACACATTTCTGGGCCAAACATGAGCTCAATTTCGTCCATGTCGTCCACTTTTCAGACGCTTGTTGAGCCCCATGTCAGGTCATCTTGCAGGTTTGTTGTGCCATTGTGGCGCGTATGTTGCTTTTTGTTGGCTTTTGACTTGCTGGCCCCAAGTACGTCCATGTCAGCTATGTTGGGCCTACATATCTTGGAATCATCTTGCAAGGGCCTGGTCCAGGCCTGGGTGCCTGCCTGTTCTTATGCCCGCCGGGCGTAAGCGCAGGCGGGGCTTTGGCAGCGCAGGTTTGGCAGGGTAAAGGCTGTTTTTGCATCATTTTAGGCCCAAAACCTGTTCGATGAAGGGCCTGCCTGTTCTTATGCCCGGCGGGCATAAGCGCAGGCGGGTGAAAAGGAGACATTTCATCCACAGGATTGTTTTGCCGTGGATTCCCATGAGAAATGGAAATTTCATCCATGGAATGGAGCCAGTTTGCAATGAAATGGCCAATTTGAAATGAAATCGAGCCAGTCTGGGGTAACTGGGGGTGTAAGCCAGGTACATAGACGACAGTCCATTTGGATGACTTAGTAAACCAGAGCTATGAAACATTATAAGTGGTATGACGTGTCCAGTGTTGCTTTCTTGCTTGGCTGTGACGAATTCAGAGCCAACAAATGCCCCACAGAATTACGACCGAGTTTGTGAGCGGAGTAGAAAAACTCGGTCGTAATCTTTTTTTCCTTCTACAATGCCCGAGAAAGGATTCTAGGTGTATGTTGCAGACCATGGGGCCAGTTGACTATGGCCACTAACCAGATAACTCCTTTGTATCCATGTATGTTTGTAAATATGTCTGTCTGTCTGTCTGTCTGTCTGTCTGTATGTATGTATGTATGTATGAATGTAATGTTATGTCATGTGATGTAATGTTATGTCACATTAAGTCGTGTAATGTTCTGTTATGTTACATCATGTATGTCTGTAAGTATGTATGTATGTATGTATGTATGTATGTGATGTATGTATGTATGTGATGTAATGTTTTTTCACACTAAGTCATATAATGTTATGTTATGATACATCATGTATGTCTGTATGTATGTATGTATGTGCGTAT